CTTTGTTAGGGCTGATGGGAAAACACTCATTTCAGTGATCCCCAGTCCCATGAAATGCAGCATTTCCACATTTCAAGCCCCGTGGTTTGGGAGCCATCCACAAGAGCAGTTGGTGGCCCTGTAGCCACAGCCCCATGCAGTCCCAAGTCTGCTCAGCCAGCTGTGGAAATTCAGCACCAACTCTAAGGGTGATATGGAGATAGGGGATGGAACTAAATGGGCTTTAGGGTCCCTTCCAACCCAAACCATCCTGTGATTCTATGATTCTACTCTGAGGAGCCCCAACACGTGCCCTGGTGAGGTTGGAGATGCCACCTCTGTCCCCAGGGCCCAAACCAGCACTCTGCTGGCAGGAACAGGGCAGAAGGTGCTGCTCCCTTGTCCCACCGCTATCCACGTCCGTGTCCTACTGCTTATCTCCCTGCAGCAGCCACATGTAACCCACAACCTCCCTGACACTGCCCACTGCTTGATCCACCAGGCGGCAAGAAACCATCTCTCTGCACAGTGCCCTCAAGCCCGTACCCTGCTTCACCCTATCTTCTTCTTCCTCACCATGTCTGCCACAGGCACGCTACCAGGGTACACAATGACTTAATAGGGATGCAGCAGAATTGGCAGAACAAAGGGGAGAAGCCTGAAGATGAAGGGAGAGTCTTTGGGAGGGCAGTATTTGAGCTAAAAAGAGGATGCTGCACCCCCACCCATGCCACCCTCTGTGTCCCTTGCCCTATTCTCCAACCAGCACCTCAATAAGGACTGTGACCACAGCCTAGCTCAACACCAGAATAAACTCATTGTTCCAGGGACAGTCCACAGGAGCTTTTTGATCTCTGCCATGGTAAATTGGGGCTGCAGCTCCAGCCCTGGCACCACTGCCCAAACCTGCTCCTTTGTGCTGGGCTGCTCATCAGAAAGGGAATTAAAAAAAATACAAACATCGTTAAAAGGCTTTGGAAATTTTATTCTTTACAGAATTTGAATAGGTTGTTTTAACACAATAAATACTTCAGCAATAGCATTTAACAGAACAGAATTTAAACCCACTGCAGTACCTAAACTCCCAGAGACAGGGCTCCAGGACAGCAGTCGGGGTCCCAGGGCCCATAGCAGCTTCATCTGATTCCTGTTTTGGGACAACCCCAGACAAGAGGGACCAAGCACACTCAGCTCCAGTGGGGAGCACAGCAGAGGATCCAGGCTCCTGCCAACAGCAACCCCTTGGGAAGGCTCAGTGGGGAAGGGACAGAACCAAACCACTACAGGCACCAAAGTGTGTTTCTCTTACTCATTTCACAGCGCTGGGACCTCGAGAGCAGCTGCTGCAACAGGGGCTGCATGGGGGCTCGGTGAACAGAAGACTAAGTCCAGGTGGTGCCTCGAAACTTGCTTCTGGAAGGATGAGGCAGCATCACCAACTGCTCCCACAGCTTGCCCAGGAAAACTGAATAGCCACATGGACACGGGCCCTGGAAGATGCCCTGAAGGGTTCATAGAATCATCAAATCACAGGATGGTTTGGAATGGACTCACTCCAACAGCTCCATGTTTTTCTTACGTTGGGGCCCCAGAGCTGAGTTGCAGAGATGGTTCCTGTCCTGCATTTATAGGGTCTTGCTAGAACTGACCTGACTGAGATTAAAACAGCTCCCAAAGTACAGCCTACAGATATGAGTGCGCCGGGGAGGTAACGTTGGGCCAGCTCCATTTAAGGAGCTTGAATAAGTGTTTCCAGAGCCTGAGAAAGTAAGTTGCAAGCTCATGCTTACAACATGGGGATCCCCCAGCTCCGGCAAAGCCACCTCTAGCAGGTGGCTGATGTTTAGGAGAGGAGAGGCTTCTGCCAAGCCCCTGCAGTTACCAGCCACTGAAGAGAGGAGGTAACTGGAGCACAGTCACACTAGAGGAAGAACCAAGCTAAAACCAACAGCACGTAGGTCCTTGTTTGTAAGCCTGGTCAGCCACAGCATCTGTACTTGTAAAACATCACTTTTAGATGACCCAAAGCCCAGGAGGTCCCAAAACCTGCACCTCACCCTTCACCACAGCTCCACTTGTGAGTTCCTGCACTAGGTCCCTGGATCAGTGCAGAGGCAGGAGCTGTGATAGGAAACATAAGACCAAGACAATAAAGGCTGCAAGTGAGATTCCTGCTCTGCCTCAGCTATGCAAGTCCTGTGTTCGCACCTTGGCACATCCCAGGCTCCCACAAAAGCCTGCTTCGGAGCAAAGCATGGTGAGGATGAGGAGAAGCCGGCGGCACTGGCCACCTCTTCCCACAGCACAAGGACCTGCCCGGAGGCTGACATCTCCAAGGACTGCACCCCTACCTGAACAGGCTTCTTCCTGGTCATACTCTGTATTGAGATAAAGCGTGCAGACGAGATTTAGGAAAGCATAACACAGTCCTGTTACTAACTCAGCAGGTCTATCAGTAATTCAGAAAATAGGACTCACACTATCCCTGGAAGCGGATATCCCTGGAAGAAGAGACACCACCAATCAGCTCTCAAATACTGAGCAGGAGCACAGTAGCAAGCACACAACCCTATCCCATCCCCAGAAGCACATCCCACCACAATGACAGAGTTTAGCCAGCATGCTCCACTGTAACACAATTACCACCAGACGCTCTCAGCAAGGAATACATTTACTCTTAAGACTTAAAACCATTCTGATTAATAGTTTGTTTCTCAGCATGCCACACCCCACCACAGCAAGATGGTTTGGTCACTCTGTTTGTTTCCATTCCCCTACCAGAATCTGGGAGCAGAATCACTTCAATTCTAACAGCCCAAACGGAACCCTCCAGCTTCACAGCAGCACGAATTGGGAAGAGTCATATGTGCACCGAGATAGGTCTGAGCCCTCCTCGCTCTGCCACAAGTCTGGCAGTGCTAGAGGCAAGCGAGCCTGCTTTCCAGCACTGATTGAAGGAGACAGTTTTTCTAGTTTCAAGGTGCAACAAATTAAGGCACCAATAATCCAGGACTCTCCAAAGATAAAGCCATTGCAGATAGGAAAGGGTTCCAGTTTTTAACAGATGTTTCTCCTACAGCACAAGTATTTGCAGGACTTTAGAGAGAAAACCCTGCTTCCATGTATTCCATGTATTTATATCTTCACAAAGGGGTTTTCCAGGGTATATTACATGCTGCAAAAAGGCAGCAGCTCACAGGTCGGTAAGACAACAGACAGACAGCATGTTAGGGGGACAAAGTGACATCCTCAGATTTAAGATCAGACACCCTCTCATAACATCAGTAGTGGCCCAGTCCTCCAGGCCCAGCACTGCTGGTGGAAAGAGACAGGACAACACCTCTTGGCGCTTGTTACCAGTGCCAGGATGGGGACCCAGAGCTCATCTGAAAGCCTGAGGGAACAGCCCAGTTACTCCCTGGTCCTGCAAACACTTAACTAGGAAGCAAATCATCCAACCTCCACTTTTTGTCAATGTTGCCAGCATAGTTTTGCAACCTGAATATGTCCTGTAGATACATGTTGTGTCCCATTTTAAGATTCCCTGTAATTATTGGGCGAGCATGACTTAAATTTATCTCCCTTCATAATCACATTTCATTAAACAGCAAGAGTCAAAAATTCAAGTGCAGCCTAATTCATTTGTACACTTAAGATTTTTTTTTTCCTCTACATCAGTAAAATGTATAGGAATAAGCTGCTTAAATAAACTCTGAAAACCATTTGCCCCATCTCCCAGCTCAGCCACCCTTCCCAGCCACACTGCAGCCAGGTAGACACATGAGCACACAGACATTCCCGCATCGCACCAGCCTGCTCGTCGCAGGGTACATCACAACCAAGCAGCCCAAGAGCACATGGGGAACGTGTGAGCTCACCTCAGGACTTCAAGTCTCATAGTCTGCACAACGATGATTCAAATTTACAAAAGAAAAAGCATTAAATAGTAGTTACAGGTTTCCTAAAGCAGGAGGAGTCATCACCTGCAGAAGGAAAACGCCGTGACCGAGCTGCTAGGAGCCACGTTGCACAACAATTAGTGTATAAGCGACTTTGTTCCCATGGTAGATTACATATGCACAATCTGTTGTGCTTGTTCACTTCCGGATGCAGCCTTTCCAGAGCCTGGGTTTAAGCTACACTCTTCATTCAAGCACAGGTCTTCATTAAATAAAGTGAACAGAAAAGAAAATCAGCATTCAATCTTCACCACCCCACTCCAACTCAATCACAAAAAAAAAAAAAAAACAAAAAACAAAAAACAACAAAAAACAACCAAATTTAAAAAAAGAAATCAAAGCAAACATGTCTTTTACAAATGGACAGTAAACATATTATCCCTGGATGAGACATGCAGCTGCTGGGGACAACGGTTTGGAAAATAAAGCAGTATTTGGAAAGCATCCCACCACACACACGCGCCTGTGAGCTCCCTGAAAGTGCACACATGACCAACAAGACACTGCAGTTAAGGTGCTTCTCTAAGTGGTGGATTTGTGGCCACTGGAGGGCTGGTGGGAAGGGCGATGTGCTGTGAGAGAGGCAGCTCAGGCAGCACGCAGCCTCCCCGCAGAGCCCACCTGAAACACCAAGTTCTTACTGGGAGGTGGAGGGTGGAGTTGAGCTTTGTGTTACGCTGGTGTAAGCCACTTGCAGCTGCCAGTTGGAGCCCAGACTCTGTTCCCAGGCAGGGAACACACACGGACAGAGAGAAACATGGTCGAGATGCAGTCCCAGGCTAGCCACAGCTCAAGCAGAGGAAGCAGGAGCCACCTTCCCACCTTTGCAGTAAATCGAGTCCTGATTTTCTAAGCCCTCCAAACAGAATGTTACTAGACGTTTTGTGTGTAGTTCTTTTTTCCCCTCTTAAAACAAAAAACAAACAGGTGTAAGTATTTGCCCAAACAGGCGAATGCAGGAAGGCAGGACAGAATGTGGGAGAGCAGTCACCACCTGCTCCCCAAGTACCAGTGCAGGACAAGGGCTGCCAGGCAGGATTAGTAAAAGACCTCCAGGATGTTCCCTGACCTTGTAGAAATCAACTGTTATGTTGGTTTTGGTGACAGGTCAAAACTCTTTGCTCAGGTAAAGCCATTTGCACCCCCAACTGGCATTACGTGAGCAAGAGCTGGAGTCTGAGGTTTCACGGGGAACATTCAGCTGGTCTAATATACAGTAACAGTGATTTGAAATAAATGCCCTCCTCGGCCAGTTTCACCCAAAACCAAAAGCTCACATTCAAACAGCAGCAGGGGCTGCCCTGTACCAGTCCTGCCCTGGCTGCACCGGATACCGTGTGTACTTTGCCCTGATGTCTGTCCAGAGGATAGGTTTAGATCCGTGGTGATGGTTGAAGTATTTACAGGTATTTGCAGCAGTTATTTACAGTACTTCTGCAGACCGCAAGCCAATTTTCTCTTCCTCCACTCCTAGTCAATCTGGTGTCGGCTTCTTTAGTGAGAAGGGCCGTATATTGAAGTGCCTGCTCAGCTGGCTCACCTGGGGACAAGGCAGACAACAGGACAGGATTAGCAAGGCTCAGATGGATGAGGGGAAAGCAGCCTGAACACCAGACAGGTTCCCTGTATGGCCTACAAAGCCCCTGCCACTTTCCTACACCCACTTTCCCAACCATTGCACACCCTACATGCTTCCACTGGTGCGGCAGATTGGGACCACAGGCTCTGTCTTGTGCTGTGGGGCCAGCCAGGCTGCCCTGCCCAGGAGCTGAGCCTGTCCCTGCCAGCTCAATGCTGGGAACGGGTAGTTTGAGATTAGTTATTAGGGAGAAGTTCTTCCATGTGAGGGTGCTGAGGCAGTGGCACGGGGCGCCCACAGAAGCTGTGGCTGCCCCATCCCTGGCAGTGTTCAAGGCCAGGTTGGACACAGGGGCTTGGAGCAACCTGGTCTAGTGGAAGGTGTCCTGGCCCATAGCAGGGGGTTGGAACTGAAGGAGCTTTAAGGTCTCTTCCAAGCCAAAACATTCTATATTCTATGACTAAGTGCTGCAGCTGGAAATAAGCTTTCAGGCATGGTTCAGAGAACTGTGGACAGGAGGTTAAAGTGGATGGAGTGGCACCAGCACCTGCTGACTGCAAGGTAACAGTCACTGCAGAACCAAGAGTGAGCAGTGCTGAGCAGCACCAACGGGCTGAGCTGGGCAGAGGGTTTATTCCTAATCATTACTCCCAAATTCAGAGCACTTTGGGATCATGTACCAGACACAGACCCTTAAAAGGTTCTTCATCTCAAAGTTTCTTTTATCCTGGAATAGGACACTGCATAGATGGGCCCTTGGAAAGCTGAATGGGAGCGAGGGGAGCACGAACTGAGGAGAGCAGAGCACTGAGAAGCTCATTGCAGTGGATGGGCAAGCCTGGGCAGGAGGATTACACCATCCGCTCAGTCCCCATCTCCAGCTATGATTCCAAGACCAAATTTATTTAAGCTTCTTAGCTACTCAAATCCTTCTCACATAGAACCCTCATTACACTAATTGGAAAGACAACCTGGCTATTACTTCTTTGCTGTAATTACAGGTCAGAATTGACTCCAGAGACTCCACATCAGAGCTGGGGTTCCCAGGGAACAGAGCTTCCCAAGGAGGGTGTACACAGGTGGCAGCAGCCAGCTCTGCAGGGGGCATTGGTCCCTTGCCCTCATTCCTCAGCAGCTTCCCGAGGCATTTCTAATGGGACTCAGTCTTCTCTGAGTTTGTTTTCTCTCTTAATCAAAACTCAGGGAGTCAGGCAGAGCTGGCACAGAGCAAGGGGAGCAAATTGGTGCCTGGATCTCAACATGACCCTTGCAGCAGGGGAGAAGGCACTGCAGCCACAGCACCTCCACTTCCCTAGCGGGGACATCAACCCTCCATCTTGGCTCTCCCAGTAACTACAGAGCAGGGCACGTTCATCACAAATCAAACTCATTAACCAAAGTAACACCAACAGCATTTAACTTTTTATACCAAGACTCCCAAATGAAGCCCTCCTGCCTGATGTGCAGACACGGCATCTGCTGCAGCTGCCCTTCCCACTGCCCATTGGTGTGGGTGTCCCACACTGGCTTGTATCCAAGCTAGTCACTAAGATGCAACCCCAGCCAGGAGGAGTTAAACACGGCAGCAGGGATGCAAGCATTTGTTTCAAACAGCCCCATCACATTGAGTGACGCTTGCTTCAAACCCAGCCACATCCTGCACAAGCCTCTCGCAAGGAAGTCTCGCAAGGAGTCTCATGTGGTCACAGACAGTGTGACACAGCCAAACTGTTTTTAAGCAGAGCATTCTCTTTCCCACACAGCAGCAGCACCCAAGCCATGCCTGCAGTCAGAGCATGGCAGCCAAGCCTGAAGCCGCTATGTCAAGTTCACCTACCACGACCACTCCATAGTGGATGTGCGCCAGGGTGAGGAAAGCAGTTAACACATAGAGGAGAAGCGTTTCGCTGTTGGGCGCAAACCCAGACACCACCACGAGCAGCACCACCGCTATGGGCAGCAGCATCCAGTTCAGAGGCTGGCAGCGTGTGCTGCTCATCTGACACACGATCAGTTGACACTGCAGGAAGAGAAAGCTGTCAGAGCTTGTGCCCGGTATTGACTCTGCAAGCCCAGAGTTGTCTGTCCAGAGGGCAGACAACAGTCACACATGTACATGTACCAATCGTCTGCACTTACAACTACCACCGTGCAGTTTCTGAGTTTCACATAAATTATCTTTCTTTGCATTAGAATTCCTGGGGAGGGACACAGAGCAAAGCCTTGTGGGGCAGGGAGGGAATAGGGAAACAGGCATCGAGGGCATCTTTGAAAGAAAAAGGAGTTCCCCTGAGCTGACCGAGCCTTGTCAACATTATCTGCACAATCCGCAGAAACTCATGCCGTGCAGCAGCATGAGCTGCTGGACCCAGGGCACGAATACACGAAGCTGCTCAGCCACATGTCTGCAGTGACAAGCACAGAAGCCTTTGTTAAGGTCTCAAACAAGCAGAGATGCAGTATGTGGCTAAACTGGATTCTGAAAAAACCTTTAGTCCCTCCCATTTTAAGTTTAGCCCAAATAAGGAAGCAGCAACTCCTTTTGTATTAGCAGTTTGTTATTCACAGCACAGAGGATGCACGAGTATATAAACACACTCCATTTAACTAATTCTCTAGTTTCTCAAGAGTGAGCACTGCAGCACAAAATTCACAGATGTCAAATCCTGTCTATTTTCCTGTTTGTTCTTTCAGTCATGGCAAAACAGAAAAGCTGTTAAGTTAATCTTCGCATCTTCTCCTTCTCCTCACATTTGAGCTGCGTCCCAAGCACCTTGGCAGGCTTCACACTCCTCAGGGGATAAACTGGAGCATAAAGCAAAAGCTGCTTACAGAAATGTTAGCAAAGGCTGTTCCAACCATGAAGTAGAAGAGCCTGGGCTGGACCTCCAGGATGTCTGTCGGGGACATGAAGACCCACGTGGTGCAGAGCAGGAATAGCAACACTGGAGATACCAGTGGCAGCATGATTTCATACACAGAGTGGTGCTTCAAGGTGTTGTTTTTATAGGCCCTGAAACACAAGCAAAGAAACCAAAAACAGAGTTGAGAAATAACTGGTCCCACCTTCAGCAGAGGGCTGCAAAATCTTACTGGCCATTCAGCTACTCAAAAGTGCAGGTGTCAATTAGAAACATGGTCAGGCGAGGAAGATGTACCTTCACCATTAACCCAAAACACTCCTGAGTTATGGAAGCACCTGGTTGTCTGGCTGTCTGGGTTGTGACCAGCAGAGTAAGACTACAAAAAGCTGGAGACCCTCCTGCAAGACCCTGCTGAGCAGGCTGCCAGCCCACCCTGCAAACTGGTGCATCAGAGTCACTTTGCTACTGAAGACACAGAACACCTAAAACTACTAAGGAAAACAGGTTACAAGAGGCTTTGAGGGCTCTTGCAAAGG